GGCAGGCCAAGCACATTCTGTGGAGAGCGAGAGAGTGCTTTACACAGACTCACCGCATTGGTTTTTATCTTCACGTGGGCCCAGGCCTGTGCCGATTCTTCTCCTCCTCTTTATCCTAGAGACATTCCAGAACCTTTCCAAGGATGGAAAAGGACTCTACGTGACACAAACGGAGGTGAGCTGCCTTCCCCTCTCAGAGACAGGGAACTACCCAGGCTTCCTCTCCTCATCTGACTCCGGGGGGCATTTTTCTATCTGAGGATATTGAACAATCTGTCAAAGGCCAGCCAAGCTGCTGGCCCCCCTGACTCCAATTACTGACTTTATATATTGCTGGCTGCCAAGGCTGTGTTAGGATCTTGGCAGACAGATTTTATTTTTTTCCAATAGCTTAATAAAGCAGAAGATTATGTGGGAGTCATAAATCCAAAAGGGAACTGAAGAACACCTGCTGAGCTCACTGCACATTAAACCTGCTCCCGTTGAGTTAGAAAGAGCCTCCTGGCCCAGCCAGCTGGTTGACCTCAGCTCCCCCTTTCGTTGCCTGGCTGTTCAGGGACTAGCAAAAGATAGGCTGTGACCGGGGCTGGGACCTCCTGCTTAGGTTAGAATTAGCCGGAAAGCATTGACGAGACTAGAAGGCCACCAGGCCCTCTGAACAGGTTTCTCAGGCCTAGCCAAACAGATCTTTCAAGGGAGGGAGGTACTATTTGCCCTGATCTATATTAAGCTAATAAGATTAAAGAGTGGTTGTAATGATTATGCTTATTTCTTAGTGGATGAACCTGGTCATGTACAGCTGAAGCAAAGAGTAGAGCAGACCCCAGAGTCCAGGTAAGAAATGGCATCTTTAGAATCATTTCTGTCTAGGGGCTCAATTCCCCTTTCACCTCCAGAAACTACACATACGATTCTCTCCTTGGGAGCAGCCTCCCCGGAAATTACAGAGCCTTTATCTATGTGAGCCAAGGCTCAGCTGCTTAGGGGGCCCCTGAGTTTCAAGGTCAATGCTGCAGATTTTATCTAAGCCATGTAGATGAATGGGCATTCATGAAACAGTGGCCTGAAAGTCATGAGTGAGGGATTTAGAATTCTTTTTTTAATTAGTTTATTTTTATTGAGATATAATTGACATTAACATTGTATTAGTTTTAGGTATATAACAACGATTTGATATATAGATATAGGTATATAGTGATATGATCGCCACAATAAGTTAGGTTGACATCTGTCACCATACATAGTTACAAATGTTTTTCTTATGATGAGAACTTCTACAATTTACTCTCTTAGCAACTTTCAAATAGACACTACAGTATTGTTAACTATAGTCACCATGTTGTCCATTACATCCCCAGGACTTATTTATCTTATAACTGGAAGTTTGTGCCTTTTGACCACATTCACCCATTTTGCCCACCCCTCAACCCCCCACCTCTGGAAACCACCAATCTCTTCTGTGTCTATGAGTTTGGTTTTATTTTGATTTTTGGTTATTTTTAGATTCCACATATAAGTGAGATCATACAGTGTTTTTCTGTGTCTGGCTTATTTCACTCAGCATAATGCCCTCAAGTTCCATTCATGTTGTTGCAAATGGCAAGACCACTTTATTTTTTATGGCTGAATAATATTCCATTGTATATATGCACTACATTTTCTTTATGCATTCATCCATTGGTGGACACTTAGATTGTTCCATGTCTTGGCTATCGTAAATAATGCTGCAATGAACATGAGGGTGCAGGTATCTTTTTGAGTTATTTTTGTTTCCTTCAGATAAATACCCAGAAGTAGAATTGCTGGATCATATGGTAGTTCTATTTTTAATTTTTTGAAGGAACTCCATACTGTTTTCCATAATGGCTGTAGCAATTTGCATTCCCACCAACCGTGCACAAGTGTTCCTTTTTCTCCAAATCTTTGACAACGTTTATCTTTTGTCTCATTGATAACAGCCATTCTAACAGGTGTGAGGTATCTTACTGTGGTTTTGATTTGCATTTCTCTAATGATTAGCGG